ATAATAAAATAAAATGCAAATTTTAAAAAATTATTTAGACTTCAGTATATCCAATTTCTTTTCTATAGTCACTATACCAAATATTCTTGGGTACTTGATACACATATATGCCAATAAAAGCTGCCCTATATGACTAGGGATATAGGTCAGTGGCACAAGAGCCTACCTGGCAAGTGCGAGGCAGTGAGATCAATTCCTGGTACCAAAAAATAAATAAAAACGGCTCTACAAAAAATACACGGTACCAGTCATCCATACCTCAATGTGAGTAATAAATGTAACTCAATAGGGCTGGGGAGATGGCTCAGTGGAATAAGCGCTTCCCTGGCAAGCATAATGACTGGAGTTCAATCCCCAGTCCCCCCCCCCAAAAAAAAAAAAGTAACTCAAATCTAGCTTACGATTTTAAGTCTAATGTTCAATTGTAAAATAAAAGATAAATATCACATTGTACCAGAATGTAGACATTAATCTAATGAGAGGAATTTTATGGAATCTAAATCAACACCTAAGAATTTGGGTATGTACAAAGTCAATACTTATCAAATGAATTATATCCCACTGAGATCCATTAGATATACTATACTGAAAAGAAGTTACAAAGCATTACCATAACAAAATGAAGTCTACATCACACTGTGCATCTTAACATTTTCTAAATAAAGACAATATGAATACCAATATGCATTAACATTTGAAATAGAAAATCAAAAGAGTTCTTACCTTACTACATCATCAATATTGTTCCTGTATACGCCTTCAAGTCTTTCTGCAGGAAATCCCATAGCAATAATGTTTGGATAAATATCTAAATACTTAAGTTAAGGAAATATCTGAAATATGCTACAACACAAATATGCACACATTTTAAAACATCTAACTATAAAAAGTATAATTTTCCCCAATATAGCTAGTTTTAAGAGACTGTCAAAGTACTTATCTGTAATCAGTATGCACAATTAAGAAATAATTGTAAATATATTAATTCCATGAAAGACTCTCAAAACAATTTTACAGCAAAAAAACCCTTTAAGCCCCTCTTCTTAGTACATTAAAAATGCATCTAAAAGTAAAAGGTAATTTCCTTATTTCAGGATTTAGGTATGTAAGAAAAGAGAAAACCCCAGACTGAGACTCACAACGAACGTATGTGACGACCAAAAAAAAAAAAAAAAAATCAAAATGAAACCAAACCAAAAAAAAAAAAAAAATCTGATCTTATCTGAAAAGATGTAACCAAACAACTTTTAGCTTTCCATATTTAAAAAATACCATGGTAGCTATACCCAAACACTTGGGATGCTGAGTCAGAAAGCTCACCTGAGCCCTAAAGTTTGTTAGATTTAGGCACAGGCCATATATATGTAAAATTTGAACAAATCACTTAACCTTTCTAGAACTCCCATTTTACAAGATTAGATTTAAAGAAATAACATGTTATCTATGACTAAATAACTGAGATTGAAACACTTTCACTCCCACATTTTCTAAAAATATTTGTTTGTTAATTTATTTATTCAGTGCAGGGTCTCACTACACAGCTTGCACTCAGTGATCTTCCTGCCTCAGCCTCCCAGTGCTGGGATTTACAGGCATGCACCACCAAGCTCAGCTGCAGTGATGCCAGTGATCAAAGCCGGGTCCTTGGTGCTTGACAGGCACGCGCTTAGACAGCCAAGAGTGCTCTTTCCAGCCCTGTTACTCTAACTTTTAATAAACGTAATATATTCAGCATGCCTATTATATTAACTCATGTTACATACAACAGTTGGCATAAAAACTTCTGCAAAGAATTTATCCCAGGGGGCTGGGGAGATAGCTCGTGGAATAAGTGCTTGCCTGGCAAGTGCAGAGTCCTGAGTTTGATCACTGGTACCGCAAAAAATAAATTTAAAAATTAAAAAAAAAAAAAAGAATGTATTCTCAACTATAGAAAATCACCAACAATATAATTTCTGCCTCCCCATCGCCCCGGTTTTTGAGACTTAAGCTTGCCATGTAGTTCTAGCTAGCCTCAAATTTGTGGTAATCCGGGCTGGAGAGATGGCTCAGTGGTCTAAAGCACCTACTTGAAACAAGCTTGGCAAAGCACAGGGACCGCGGTTCGATCCCCCAGCACCACATGCCAGCAGCCCCGCCCCCTGGTGGGCTGAGCTGGCCACACACACACACAATAAATAAATGTAATAAATAAAAATAAATAAATATTTAAAAAAAAAAAAATTTGTGGTAATCCTCCTTCCTGAGCCTCCTAGGTGGGCGTGGGCCACCACACCCAGCTGGACATTCTGATTCTCATCCATTGAACTCAATCCTCTCTAATCATTTGATCTTTCTGACAAAGGCTAATTTGTCTAAGGCTCCCTGTAAAGACCAACACAAAAGATTTCTGCTCATGTACTTCAGGATCCATCACCATCACAATGCAATTCAAACTTCCCCTGGTTTATTGCCTTTTCCTAAGTATTTTTCTTTCATCTCTTTGCAACACTTTCTCTTTCTTTTCTAGGCAGTGTCTCACTATGTAATTCAGGCCGGCCTTGAACTCATGGTGATCCTCCTGCCTTAGCTTCCCAAGTGTTGGGACTACAAGGCCAGGAGTGTGCCACCACTCCAAATACAACAATTATTAACATTTTATTTCCTTTTTAACATTGTTGGGGATCAAATCTAAGGCCTAACACATACCAATTAAGCACTCAACCCTACAGAACTATATCCCAAGTCTGCAGTACTATTTTCAATCCAAAATTAACCAAAAGCTTTTATTTTTAAAACTTAAGGGTTATTTGTGCATTTTATGTGGTGCTGAAAACTAAAACTAAATCCATATATATCACACAAGCACTAAACTAAAATCTAAATGGATCAAAGATCTAAATATTAAAACAGAAGCCCTAAATCTTCTGAGAGAGACAATAGAAAAAACTCTCGAAGACATAAGGTGTAGACAAAGACTTTATGAACAAAACCCAGGTCATACGAAATATGTCAAAGAATCAACAACAATCTACGGGATCTCATCTTTTAAAAAAAATTCTATAGGGCCGGTCAACTAGCTCAGCAGGTTAAAGTGCCTGCAAGAAGACACAGGGGCCATGGTTCAATCCTCCAGCCTGCCGTGTCGTCCCCGCCCCGGGGTGCACTGAGAAAGCAACTGAGACTGGGCATGGTGGCGCGCACCTGTTATCCCAGCTTTTGGGAGGCTGTAAACAGGCAGATCACTACGAGTACAATCTATGTAGTGAGACCCTCCATACCCTGTAGGCCCTTCCCTAAAAACGTAAAATAATTTAAAAAAAAAAAGGTTTTGTACAGCAAAAGAAGTCACTGACAGAGTGAAGACAACCCACAAAGTAGGAAAAAACCTTAACCAGTTGTTCTTCAAAGGACTAACATTTAGAAAAATAAAGAATTTTTTAGGGGTCAGGGAGATGGCTCAGTGGAATAAGTGCTTCCCTGGCAAACACAGAGTTCAATCCCCAGTTCTGAAAAAAAAAAAAAAAAATTTTAAATCAGACCACCTCCCCAATTTAAAGACCCAATCCAACAATGGGCATCTGATATTAATAGATATTTCTCAGAAGTACAAACAGTAAATAAACACATGAAAAAATGTGATCACTCGGAAAACGCAAATCAAATGCTTAGATCCTACATCACTCCAGAAAGAACGGCTATCATCAAGAAATCGACCTGTAAGAAATACTGGCAGGACTAGAGAGAGAAAGGAACCCTTCTCCACTGTTGGTGGGAATATAGACTGGGGTGACAACTGTGGAAACCAGTCTGGAGACTCCTCATAAAAGGAGGACTAGTGATACCATTTGACCTAGCTATGCTCTTCCTTGGTATCTTCCCAAAAGAATTAAAAGTATCATACAGCAATATATGCACACTCATGTTTATAGCAATAGTTTGTATTAGCTAAATCTTTGAAACAACCCAAATGTCTAGAAACTGATGGATAAAAAATGTTTTTAATACAGTGGAGTACTACTCAGCCATAAAGAAGGATCAATTTGAGACTTAGCTAAAATGGACAAACCTTTAAGACCATAGTATTAAATGAAACAAATCAGATAATTATGCATATCTAAGTATGTGCAAATATCACATTGTCTGCCTGATGTGAGAAACTGAAAGTGTAACTAAGAATCAAAATGTATGGGGGCTGGGAAATGGCTCAGTAGAGTAAGCGCTTCCCTGGCAAGCGCAAGGGTCTGAGTTCAAGCCCCAGTTCCTCCAAAAGAGAAAAGGAAAAGAAAAAAAAAAAAAAAAAAAAAAAGTATGATAATGTAAAACAAGAAGTAATTTTTCAAAGGGAAAGGAAAATTGAGGGAGGGGTCAAAGGAAAAAATAAAAAGATAAAGCGGAAACAAAGCTTGGTAAATGAGGAGAAGGGCTGAAAGGAGGGGAAGAGAATGGGAAAAAAACAGGAACTAAGATATATCATGTCCTACAGTGAATGTGATAATTATGCATATCTAACTTATACCAATAAACTTACATAAAAACTAAGCAATACAATCCTCCTTAAAAAATTACTATTGTGGTAGGGCCAGTCAGATAACTCAGCGGACTAAAGTGCCTGCTTAGGCAGGGTGCAGTGGCTGGGGTTCAATCCCTGGCTTGCTGCACTAGCCCCGCCCCTGGGGTGCACTAAGACAACGAATGAGACTGGACGTGGTGACGTGCATCTGTAACCCCAGTGCTTGGGAGGCTGAAAACAGGAGAATCACTACAAGTCTGATCTGTGTAATGAGACCCTGTAGGCCTCTACTAAATACATAAAAATAGGGCTGGTGAGATGGCTCAGTGGTCTAAGGCACCTACTTGGAACAAGCTTGGCAAAGCACAGGGACCGTGGTTCGATTCCCCAGCACCACATGCCAGCCAGACCCGCCCCCTGGTGGGCTGAGCTGGCCACACACACAAATAAATAAATAAATAAATAAATAAATAAAATACATAAAAATAAATAAAACATTTTGTACAAGGATAAAAGAATTTACACGTATACTTGCTAGAAACTGAAAACCACACACACACACACACACACACACACACACACACACACATCCCATAAATAAGGAACTAACAAAAATGGCTGCTTTATACAGAATGCAAACCAGGTGCTAAGCTGAGGCAGGAGGATTAAGGTGCATTCAAGGACAGCCTAAAGAGAGAAAATGGGAAGAAAAGTATAGTAAGAACAAGTGAAAAGCAAGACTGCTACATGTATTGTGGGATAATGTTGACCCACATTACTTTTGTTTTACTTTTGTGTTCATGTGTGTGTTTGACAAAACTGAGGGGGGGCCTAGGGGGATAGCTCAATAGGATAAGTGCTTGCCTGGCAAGTGCAAGGGTCCAAGTTCAATCTCCGATTCCGCAAAAAAAAAAAAAAAAAAGGATGACAAGTTACTAAAAGTAATGATACCTAGGTAGCAGGATTGTTTTGTTTTGTTTTGTGGTACCAGGAATTGAACTCAGGACCCTGCTCCTCCCAGGCAGGCACTTATTCTATTGAGCTATCTCCCCAGTCTTTTTTTTTTTTTTCAGTAAGGGTCTACAGGGTCTCACTATGTAGATCAGACTCAGAGTGATCCACCTGTGTTCAGCCTCCCAAAGAGCTGGGATTACAGGCGTGCACCACACCCCAGCGCCCAGCCCCCCTGGGGTGGATACAGGGCCAGCACAGCACGCTGGAGAACAAACCCCAGGCACTGCGTCTAAGCAGGTGCTTTAATCCGCTGAGCTATTTGGCCAGCCCTTTTCCATAGTTTTGTTTGTTCTATACTTCCT